GCTTTGGTGACTGATTTATACCATTCATGGAGATTGGAAATACAAAAGCAAGAGCAGGGCACACTGAGTTTCAGGTGTTGCTGGAGACACATGGTAGTGTTTGGGAAGAGGGGCGAGACACAGGTTTGGAAACCACAGACATATGTCAAGGGCGTGGAAGAGAGCACCCCATAAGAGAGTGTGAAGTTGGCTCAAAGAGGCTGAGGAAAGAGCAGCAGCTACAGTTAGGGGATAAACAGGGAACAGAACCCTGAAAGAAGCCAAGAAAAAATGGCTTTAAGACACAGGAAGAAAACACAGAGTGGTTCACAAGGGTAGAGGCCAAGAAAGATCTGAGGAGGAAGTCAGTGGTGTCATGTACTCTACAAGAGACCAAGAAAGACAAGATTATTAAGGTCACCCAACAAAAAGACCTAAAGTAGGGCGGTTCCAGGGCCAATTAATTCTGCAGTTTAACACTATTATCAAGGACTCAAGTTCTTTCCATTTTTCTACTCTCAGACAAATTTTGCTGGCTTTATCCTCAGCCTAGCACCTCTGATGGATTGCAAGATGGTTGCCATAGTACCCCAGGCATTGCATGCAGACAATATCCAGCATGGAAGAGGGATAATTCTTTTGTAAGTCTCTTTTTTAGAGTGGGGGAAAAAAAACCTGTTCCCAGAAATCCTTTAGTAGACCCGACTTCATATTACTGGGTAGAACTGGGTCACACGTCCACCCCTGAAATGATCATAAACAAGAATGGGAGTATTACAATTGACTCAGATTAATCAGGAATACTCCTGAGCTGGAGACAGGCTCACTTGTCCTAAGGGCAGGATAACTGAAAAACCTGGGGCTGTATTAACAAAAAGGTGAGGTGGGAATGTTGAATAGGTAACTAATGGGCATGAAAGGGGCCGCTCTGTACTAAGGTATTCTAATCTGATTTTTTTCCAAATAATGAATGATACTTTATTTAAGAAAGAGCAAGGATTTTTAGAGGCGGAAAGACAAGTGGTCAATGCAGGAAAAAATTCCAATCAAGTAAGCTTTATGCTTCTGAGACTGGAAGGAAGCCAAACATAGAATAACTTTAAAGGAGGATGTATCCTAAAACCTCTCTGATTTCCTTTGGCAATAGGTTACTTCCTAACCCACCAATAATTTACCTTCTGCAGTGCAAACACACAACGTCTCTTCCTTTGTACCAGAATTTCTACTTTCAACTTTCATAAAAAGAAATGTAGCTCTAAAATGGCTAGGCAAATTCTTCCAGTCACATTGCCTGCGATCTTCTAGGGTCAAAGTTCTAAATTTAGGAACCTCTGTGTTTACATCCATGTGGTGGCTCTGTGGTCTACCGACTTGACTGGGTTGAACTACAGTCCCCAGAACTCCCTCATACATTTCTGCTTAGGGTGGGTTATGTGGGATGCTCTCTCCTGAGAGCTGGAACATGGACGGGAGGCAGCCGCCGTTTTGTAGCATACAGTAACTTCTTCCAGTTACTCACTCAAACACCAACGTAGGTGCTGCTGGGAAGGGATTCTGCAGATGTAATTCAAGTCCCTAATCAGCTGACTTTAAATTAATTAAAAGAGAGATTAGGTAGGCTTGTCTTAAACAGTTGCAAGCCCTTTCAAAGAGAACGTAGCCTTTGCCTGAGCTAAGAGGCTCCAAACAACAGATGGATCTGCAACTGCTTTGCTTCCTCAGGCTCTTCCCTGAGAGCCTGCCTGTGGACATCAAGCTTCAGCACTTCCTCATGATCTTCCCTTCCTGACTGCCTGCCCCTGTACACGTTGGGCTTGTTTAACCAGCTCCCACAACTATATAAGCCAATACACAAAACTCCACACACATATACATATATATACATACACTGACTCACATACTCACACACATACAAAATCTAACTGATTGAACCCTAACACACATGTGCTCACATTTGCCTCCAACTCCTACTTCTACCTTTGTGAGATAAAACCAGCTCCATTCAGTGCTCTCAGACTGGACGCAGAAAAGTTTAAAATGGGAGGATCATTTTCTTTTTCTTTTGTTTCCACTATTTTAGAGCAGCTTGTAAATCTGCTGGCTTACGGAATTGTTCAGTATACCTACTATATACCTTTCCCATGCTGTAACTAAGAGCTCATGCTATGCTTCAAATAATTTTCTTCACTGTATTACCTAGCCCAGCTCGCACTGGAGTTCATATGTCCATCTGCACACCTGCAATAAACTTCCACAGTTTCTCTCATGGTATTTCAGTTCCTATCAGTTCTCTTTGTTCATGACACCAAACTATTCTCTAGCCTAAATATTAACTGAAAACCTTTAAATTCTGCATATCCTTTCATCCCACAACTCCATTCTTAGGACTCTCTCCTGAGGATAAAGTCATGCTGCGTTTGTATCATTAGTTTCGGCACTGATTATAAGAACAAAAAGTTTAAAACAATATAAAACAAGAAATGAATTGAACAAATATATCCATACAATTTGATGTTCTTTAATACCATGAAAGAAAGTAACAGATAATTCAACAGAATAAAGAAAAAAAAAAGCACAACGTATTATGTTTAGAAAGCAGGTTATACAACAGTTTATGTTCAGAAAATACAGTCATGTTTTTTGTGACTCAATAAATAAATACAGATGCATAGAAGAAGGACTTGAAGGATAAAAGCTCAATGTTAATGTTTCTGCGTGGCTGGACTACTGGTAATTTCTTACTTTCTTATTTCTCCTGGGAAGTATTTTCTAAGTTTACTACAGTGGACATGCACTGCTAGTGTAATAAGCAGAATCCCAGTAAGTTCTGTAGTGGTGACTTAATAACCTACGGCCTAGAACAGGAATTCTTCCCTACCTCTCAAGAATCCAGTATGGACTTTGAGAGGGATGTCTAGAGAACCCTTTAACCTGTGTGCACAATGCTGTCTGTATGTGCAACGCTGCGTGCCTTTGTGTGCATTTGGAGAGGTGAAGAGTTTCACAGCTTTCACCTAGTCCTCAAGAGATCCATGATCAAAAATACGTTAAAACCACCAGTCCAGAATCTTTCAATTCAGGCATTTTGTACAGCTGAAAATGTCTTTATCTCAAGTGATACATAAAATTTGTACAACTCTCTCAAAAAACAAATTATGAAGTAAAAAACAGCTGGGTGTAACTTTTGACAAGCTCTCTCTCGAATGGCTGCTGCTATGCTTTCCAAGTAAGAATACTCTGTGTTTGAGACTAATGATTTTGGTGTTGTTTGCCAACCTCCTCTCCTGGCCCTCATGCAGCACCAGAAATACAGCTCATGCCCTAGTCTCAGAATGGAGTTTGTTAGTCTCTGTTCTGGGCCCCTCTAGGGTGAGCAAACATACTCTAAGAGAATTTTACTGTCCTGACAGAAAACTCACTAGTAGTTAGAAAACAATGAACTCTTTTATGGAGATCAAAATATGTGCCATGTTTCATTAAATATCTTGCATTTGAGAGAAGGAGACTGTGGGCGACATGTTATTGTGACTGGCTTAAGGCCTCTACTTTATGTTCCTTGCAATCTTGACATTGTATACCTAAACCGTTTTTTTTTTTTTTTAAAGATTTTATTTATTTATTTGTCAGAGAGAGAGAGAGTGCGTGCACAGGCAGGGGGAGCGGCAGAGGGAGAGGGAGAAGCAGGCTCCCCGCTGAGCAGGGAGCTTGATGTGGGGCTCAATCCCAATACCCTGGGATCACGACCTGAGCCAAAGGCAGACACTTAACCAACTGAGCCACCCAGGCGCCCCCCTAAACCGTTTTTGTAAAGACAGAAATGATAGTGATATGTTTCCCATCCAAATATTATGGTCTATAAATCTAACACCCAGAAGTCACTTTTACTTACATAATGACTATTCCAAAATACTGATTCCATCTAGAAGTGCACAAAGAACCATACAAAATTCTCTCTGCACTGCTACCCCTAAAATCCATGATCTCTGTAGGAATATAGTCTTAAAAGTTGGGAGTCGCTATCAGGTATCTTGCTTTTTATGCTAGCTACTCTACCATGGTTCTGTACAAATATAATTAGTGTATTTGATTATTCCAGGTTTGAGATTGTAAATAAATTATTTAAACTTCATATGTTTACTAGTAAAAAATGGTTAATTACAACTCTGACAACATTAAAGAAAATTATAATTTTCACTTACTGAATCAAATAGATCTATATACAGTTTCTCTACCACTCCTCTTTTAAATTGTTTTCTTTTCCTGCTAGTTTACCAGGATGGCATTGCTCTAGCAGTTACGTGCTCTAGCTAAGAATTTTTCCTTATCTACTTGCTGAATTAGACTGGAACCAAATACAGATGAAGACTTGTCTTTTCCTCAGTGTATCTGAGATGTGCAAAACCTGAGGCTCAGAGGTAGAAGGGAAGCCAGAAATATGGTTTGAGGAAGCAATCTGTGGTTGAACCACATCTTTCTGCAGGATTTTCTTTTGTTTGCTCTTTTGGATTAGTGATAATAATACTTATTTGGTGATGTATAGAAGTCTATACTTTAAAAGCACATGCCAACAAATAATAATGATACATCTTTCTATATCCACATGGAAAATTTTAAATAGAAGTGGAAATGAATTACTAATCAGAAAAGTAACCTAAAAGTTTTATGCTGCTTCTGAAGATAGGATCCTTTGAACCAGGGACTTTATTAGGTGGGTATTTTTCAAACTTCAAAAGTTAATATTATATGTTAGACTCATAATAGATACTTGCTTCCCATTTTCTTTCTTTCTTTCTTTCTTTTTTGTTTTAAAGATTTTATTTATTTATTTGCCAGAGAGAGAGAGAGAGAGCGCACACAAGAGGGGGACTTCCCATTTTCAAACTGCATTCAACATTGTTTTCCTGTACTTGAAAATGTAACTTTCTCAGAGAGATAACACAGGTAAAAAGCAAGACAAATAAATGCATAAAATACACATAATAGTTTAATGGGAAACTATGGTCTGAAAATTTTAAACTTACTGTTCATGGAAATCCAGCATTGGTGGCTCAAATCGTATAGGTCTGCAATTACCCCGGTACAGAGATATACTGTAAGTAAAAACAAAAGAGTGTAAGAAACAATTCTTTAAAAAATATATACCCCAAAACTGAAGTCAGACACTTGAGTTTTGTCACAACAAAGTATCTTTAAGTGTAGCCTAATCTTCTATTGGGAATGTGCATTACTTTTCTTAATAGAGGAAATCAATAAATGTGTGTTTTTAAAATTAAAAAAAAAAGGAGAGTATTTTTCCTATTCAAAGGTATATGAAAACAGAAAATGCTCAGGTAGACTCAATGTTGAAATTAATTTTTTGAAATAGTTGATAACAATATATCTTTATATGCTCACTTAGATTTTCTTTTTTGATACATGCACAATGAACAATAAATAGTCAACACAACTATACATACTTGGCAGACAATACAGTATACAGACAAAAACCACAATCACATTTTAACTAGAGTGGCAAAGGAACTAAACAAAAATGAATTTTGTGGGATAGAAACTTTTTTTTTTTTAAGATTTTATTTATTTATTTGACAGAGAGAGAGAGACAGACAGGGAGAGGGAACACAAGCAGGTGGAGTGGGAGAGGGAGAAGCAGGCTTCCTGCCGAGCAGGGATCCCGATGTGGGGCTGGATCCTAGGACCCTGGGATCATGACCTGAGCCAAAGGCAGACGCTTAACGACTGAGCCACCCAGGCAGGCGCCCCAGGGATAGAAACTTTTAAGAACTGAAATATCTTTTTCATCTGAGAGTTTAGAACACACTGATCTATTTGAGTATTATTTCTCACTATCCCACTTGATACTAGAACTTCTCACTAAAACCAATTTCTCAACAACAAGCCTAGTCGTCGCCATGACCTAACAATGATGTGACACAGAAATACCCTGGGAGGGTGGGGGGCTGTCCACATGCCTCAGGTCATCTGAGAAAGTCAGAAATTCAGTAAGCCACTGAAGTTTCTAAATAGTAGATGTTTATCTTTCTGTTGTATTTTAAGAAATGACATTAGAGCAAAACCATTCTGTAAAACTATTTCCATCAACACAATTCAGAAGAACACAGCTTCAAATGATATAGTAATTTAATTCAGGAAATACAGGACATACATTAGAAACAGGCAAGGACATTCAGAATATGTAGGAAATTTAGCTTTAACTCAGCTCTTTAAATAGCTTAGACTATATATTTATTAAAGATTTTTAAAATTTATTTATTTGACAGAGAGAGACAGCGACTGAGGGAACACAAGCAGGGGGAGTGGGAGAGGGAGAAGCAGGCTTCCCGTTGAGCAGGGAGCCCAATGTGGGGCTTGATCCCAGGACCCTGCGACCATGACCTGAGCCAAAGGCAGATGCTTAAGGACTGAGCCACCCAGGTGCCCCTAGCTTAGACTCTTTAAAGATTAAATAGTCTGAGTAGTAGAATCGAAGCACTAAAAGTAATAGGATCTTAAGATGTTTTTAGCTTGATAATCCCTCTACATATGCTGAACAGAAAAAAGGAAAAACACAAACAAGGAGGAAAACAGCAAATATAAGATTCTACTTAATAAAGCATAAATCTAAAGACACTGGGACAAGGGCGGCACAGTTCCCCCAAGACAGGAGCCACTCAGCAAGAGGTACAGAATCTACTCCCTCTTGATTTCTGCTCTTCTTAGGCATTATATAACAAGGACACTCTCTGGCACCTTTAAAATAAGAGAAGCTGATTAGCTCATTAGTTTCAAGGGTATGAAACCCAAACAATAAAATCTTAATGCAATCAAGGGGGAAAAGGATAATGCATGAAGTAAATGTGTATAAGTCATTAATTCATATATATAAACACTGCACTGACTGCATTAGATTAAGATACAGTTTTTCCCCCCCCTCACAGAACTGAGAATCTATTCCCCAAGTTGCACATGGAAATGTCTGAAGTGGCCAGGCAAGGTAAGAAAAAAAACAAAACCAAACCATATACATGGTGTTGATTCAGCACAAATATAACGGATACAAGGGGGGCTGTCTAGTGGCTGGGGGTATGGAAACAAAGCAAAGAGCCTGCTCTCATTGCACTAACATTCCAATAGGGGAGACAAAAATAGAACATAGTAGGTAATAAGGGATAAATAAGGACAAACCAAATACAGTAGGAACAGAGAAGGTCTCTCTGAGGAAGGTCGTTTGAGCTGAGACCTGAATGGTGGAGATCTGGGGAGAGAAAGGAGATCTACTTGGCATGCTGAGGAGCAAGAAGGCTGAAGTGGCCGGAGTGACGGTTGGGAGGGGGAAGGGAGGGGCTGAGATCAGAGAAGTACAAAGGCCAAGTCTCCTTGCAGGAATCTGGGTTTTATTCTAAGTGTAACAAAAAGCCTCTATAGTGTCTTCCACAAGGGAGTAACATAATCTGACACATCTGAAAAGGTTAATTCTGGATGCTGTGTCAAGAACCGATTGTAGGAGCGCCAAAGTAGAAGCAGGGAGTCCTGCCCAGACAAGAGGGGATGGTAGCAGTGGTCTAGGGGGATTACAAGGCAGGGTGGTGAGAAGTGGCTCTTTTCTGAATATATGTGGAAGCTAAAGGCAACAGGTCATGCTGATGGACTGATTTTGGAATGTGAAAGGAGAGAAATCAAGGGTGACTTAATTCTAAAAATTTGGCCTGAGAAATTGGATACAGAGTCATGACATGGGAAGAGTGGGTTAGAGATGAGGAAGGATAGATGGGTTAGATGTTCAAGTGTATTTATTGTTTTAAACATTTAAATTTGTGATGTCTTATCTAGATGCGGTGTCTAGTAGGCAGCTGGATATACCTGGGTATTGCTTTCTATTAAAAAGTTACTGACTTTTGTGTACTGATCTTCTACCCCAAGTCACTTTGGCAAGTTAATTCTTTTTTTTTTTTTTTAAAGATTTATTTATTTGAGGGGCACCTGGGTGGCTCAGATGGTTAAGTGTCTGCCTTCGGCTCAGGTCATGATCCCAGGGCCCTGGGATTGAGTCCCGCATCGGGCTCCCTGCTCCTTGGGAACCTGCTTCTCCCTCTGCCTCTCTCTCTCTCTCTCTCTCTCTCTCTGTCTCTCATGAATAAATAAATAAAATCTTTAAAAAAAAAGATTTATTTATTTGAGAGAGAGAGAGAATGAGAGAGAGAGAGAGAGAGAGAGTGCACACGAGAGGGGGGAGGGTCAGAGGGAGAAGCAGACTCCCTGTTGAGCAGGGAGCCCAATGCGGGACTCGATCCCGGACTCCAGGATCATGACCTGAGCTGAAGGCAGTCGCTTAACCAACTGAGCCACCCAGGCATCCCTGGCAAGTTAATTCTAACAGTTTGTCTATAGATACCTTTAGATTTTTCCGGCACTATATGTGCGGCCAAAATAATCAATACTTTGGGTTACCTCTGTAGATAAATCATCTGCAAGTAACAACAATTGTATTTCTTCCTTTTAAATCCCTAGACCTTGTTTTCATTTTTTATGCCTTGTCTGGGCTAAGACCTCCCAAAAAATGCTCCACAGAAGCAGTGTCCCGCAGTGTCCAACAATTGTTCTTTACAGATTTCTTACAAAATACGACAGAAGGACCAATGCATAAAAGATGATTCCCTCATAAATAAATGTGTATTTTCAAAACAATAGCAGATTTATGTCTAAGGAACAGTTCAGTATTTCAGTGGGTACAACACCAGTTGTCATAGGTATAAACTTATTTAAAAAACAAAACAACAAAAATTCAATAACAGCTATCATGTATCCACAGCTGTTTGCTACTATGCTTATTTTAAAAGGGGATGGCATTGTTTAGCATTTTAATAACAGAAACAAAGTTTGCAAATCTTTAATGTTGAAAAAGAAACTGGGGCAGAAGTAATGTGAAAAATGGTACTCTGCCAATTTCAAAGAAACAGAATCTGAGACATTATAATAGTATATTGAATGATTTTATGCTTTCCAGTGATTGTACTTGTTTGAAAGTCTCAAATATTTGTATTCTTATTATTTACTTGGGGATAAGGAGATGCAAAAAGACTATTTCCTGACTTCAAGCAAGGGAACGACTGGAAAGATACAAGAAATCTTGTGGGCCATGGTCTATGGTGCTTGGTGGACCGTCAGGTTAAAGTTCAGCAGGTAGCTCCCCAATAAAGCAAATAAAGGCTTCGTGGAGCTTTGGGAATTTTTTTAAACTAGGAAATTTTAAATGTTTTCCTAAAGGCAACTACTACCCAAACAAAAGGTACTCTTTGGCCCAGTATTTCTCAAAGAATGCTTTGTGGTCTACCTACACCTTAATCAGCTATAGAAACGCTTGTAGAAAAGCAGATTCCAGGGCCCTACCGCCATAAAGCGATTCCTTACATCTAGTCTGAAGCCCAGTGTTTCACACATTCGAGAAATACTTTTGCCATCTTGATCCACAATAAGCACTGCAAGCAGAAATAAGAGGGGACAAAAGTACCTTAACAAAACTTTCAAAGTCATCAATAGTTTAAAATAGTTTCTAATATGATTTTTATTAGAGACAGCTAAAAAAAACCAGTGACTTGAGAGAAATTATATAGATTATACTTATTAGCTTAAATTCACATTTCTCTAAGGACTAATAATGTTGAACATCATTTAATTTATTTACAGTCCAACTAGAAATCTTCTTTCATAAAGTGTCTATTCAAAGTTTTTATATTGGGATGTTTGTCTTACTGAGTTGTAAGAGTTCTTTACAGATTCTAGATACATGTCCCTTATCAAATATATGTACTGTGACTATCTTCTCCCTGTTCCTCCTTTTCCTATTACAAATGGTGTCTTTTGGGGAGTGATGTCATTGAGATGGTGATATAAGTTGTTGCTAACTTCAGTCCCCTTCAGAAGAAGATCAATTAGCAACTATCCACGGACAAGACACTGTTGTGAAAATTCCAGAACACAGGGGTGAGGGTGAAGAACCCTCCCGGACCACAGAGACTGAAGAGGACAGTGCATCAGGAAGGTAAGAGGAGTGGCTACACTCTGATCACATCACCTCTCCAAGGCAGGCACAGAG